CAAATAAATATCGATCGAGAGAGAGAGAGAGAGAGAGAGAGAGAGAGAGAGAGATGACAGTTGTGTGTACCTGCGTGCTGCATCTGTGCGTCTCTCTCTACAAACAATTAGGTACTTCAAAAATTACTCCATTTTACCATCGTTGCTGAGGAATATAATGTAGCGATATAGTATCTAGGCTTTTTTATTAATAAAAATCGTGGGGAAGCGTTAACAACAAGTTTATGTGCGATCTCCGACTCTCGCTCTCTCTCTCTGTGTGTGTGTGTGTGTGTGTGTGCGAGTGATGTGTGTGGGTTTGTGTGCATCAATTAAAGCAGTGCATTAATATAGAACGGTGATTAAACTGACTTGGAACTACCTGTGCATTAAACGGTTTTACTGCATACCCGCCAGCCAATCAGAATCCAGTATTCAGACAGACCATGAAATAATACTAATTAACTACAAGTACTTACTATATGGTTAGGGTTAGGATTAGGGTTACTTGCTTGCAATTATGCATAATTAATTGTTACTATAATAGTAAGTACATGTAATGTGTAACAAGGACACCTTAAGATAAAGTGTTACCTATTTTAACTTTATATGTATTAAATAAAAGTACAGGTTAAAATTATATTGAAGTACTTTACATCTGCTTTAGTATGCTACTAATAAATGTGCTATAAGTGCGTTATGAAACATTTCATAAAAATGTACTCTCTTTAAGTACACTTAAGTGGCCTTTATTTCATTAATATTTCATTATTTGCATAAACTTTATTTTCTTTTAAATATACTTTAAAGATTTGAAGTATAAATGTTATTTCTTCTGTTGAAGATGCAAGAAGATATTTAGAAGACTATTGGTCACCAAACAGTTGAATGGTACATTTACTTACACAGTATTGAAAAGGCAATGGCTACCGTCAACTGTTTGGTTACCAACATATACCATGGTACTGAAAGATTACCATACATCCCATAATATTTATGCCCAGGGTACTGAGTGAATCAAGAAAGTATGTGTTTCATATGAGAACAAAAGCAGGTGGTTGTAGTGGTGAGGTTAAAAAATAAGAGACCTTGATAACACAGGCGAAAAGAAAATCATTTCAGCGGTGGAGAAAGTTATTACATTTTGATAAAAGAAAAAACTATTCGGGATAATGTGCACCAACGATACATTGAGATTAATGAAGAAAATAATGTGAATTGAGAAAGTAATTTAGGTCAGTTGTGATTTCATACTATCTTTAAAAGAAGCCCATTTTAATGACACATGAATCATTGATGGTGGTGTTGGTGGATTGGCTCACATTAACTGGCTGTCCTCATCATACGCAAGAACCTGCGTGACGTCCCAGTCTCCTGATGTGATGGACTGCAGAGTATCTGTGCTGCTGTTGGGCTTTATGAAGAAAACATATTAAACAGACATCAATCATAACGGAACACAGTGTTGTGAATAATTGAATATTACTCTCATCAATACAATATTTAAACAAATCGAAAAGAATGTGTGTCATTTTACAAATAGAGAAGGTAGAGCATGTTTGAAGAAATTACTAAAGTAAAGGCTTAAAACTAATCAATGAAATGCTGTTTAACTGTAGAAATGTGATTAGTTATCACAAAATAAATTGGCTTGGGAAAATGAAGGAACTTGTTTGAATTAATCATATTTGTTATTTAAATTAATCTCTTTGCTTTGGAGTACTTAGAGATGTGCTACACTCTTAAAAAGAAAGGTGCTTCACGATGCCATAGAAGAACCTTTTTGTCTAAATGGTTCCATAAAGAACCTTTAACATCTGAAGAACCTTTCTGTTTCACAAAAGGTTCTTTGTGGTGAAAAAATGTTCTTCAGATTACAAAAAGGTAAGAAAGAGATGGTTCTTTAAAGAACCTTTGACTGAATGGTTCTTTGTGGAACCAAAAATGGTTCTTCTATGGCATCGCCGTGAAGAACCTTTTGAAGCACCTTTATTTTTAAGAGTGTATGTCTAAATATTGCCATTTAATTAACATCTTTCACTATGAACTAGTGTTATATGAAAAAGCTACAAAATTCTCAATTCGTATTTTACCAAAAAAATTACAACACACTGGTTAAAAGCATCATGCAGGTAACCATTTTCATGAATTAAAATGTATTTTATTCTGGCAGACATAGTTTTAATTTCTCGTAAGGTTTATACATCTAAAATATTGTAATGTAATGGTGGGTAGAAAAAAACACAATTGAAACTAAGTATATTTGTTTCAATATTTCTAAGATTTTTTTTTATTTTAATTGTATGTTTTGACTGGGTTATTTTCTGTTCAAAGACTCTCATGTTGATGTTCTTTTTATCTTGTTGTTTCTGTGTTCATTTTCCTGTGTTTAAGTCCTGTTTTTGTTTCCAAGGATGTTCTCATTAGTTATTCAACCATTTCTAGTCTAGTTCTAGTTCTCATTAAGACCTGTGTTTAACAGTAGTTCAGTGTTTGTCCTTTCTTGTATTTATGTTGGTTGCTTCTCCTGTGTCTGAGTGTTTTGTTTTTTGGAATTGTGCAATAAAGATACTGCTCTAAACTCACCTGTCATGAACCATCCATGACAATTCCTTTATATATGAAAATACATAGTTGCCCTTTATCAAAAAGTTTAAAAACACCCAAATTGCTGAAGCTTGTACCTGTGAGATGGACATGGAGATGTGGAAGAACTTCCCTCTTCCTCCCTGTGGGATTGCTCTGGTGAAGAACAGCCTCAGACCGTCTTTAGAGAACAGCGGCTCTTCATCCTGTTTGAGAAATGCAACTCTAAACGATCATTACCACCACACCAGCACCATCATTACTGTCAACATCGTGAGATTCTCCTCCCATGGCAGTGTTTCATCATTTGGTTTGCCCTGCAGAGTTTTATAATTACTGAATTATAAGACCTGCGGGAGCACTAGAGAATGTGTCCGCACCACAGAGCGGTCGTATTTCTCCAAGCAACACCAAAAATATTAAAACCATAACAACATATATTAGAATGTGAATTATTACGATAATGCAGCGCATATGTAATAGTGAGCCTGAGTCCTCAGGCTTATTTCTGCAGGAGCCGTACGATCCTTTATTCATGTTATTGCAAAACATTTCATACGGCCACTTCCTCCCTCTGGCAAAAAAAAAGCCATGAAAAACTAATCAGGAAAAACAATATCAGCTCAAGCACAGTACTGTGGGGAATGTGATAAAGACAAACAACATCAAACGTCCTCGACTATTCAAAGCTGTTACCGTTGACAAACACTGACATGGCACATCTCATCATTTTTTTATATTTGCCATTGTCTGGGCGGAGGAAGTTAATGCTCACCTGTCTGTGCAGCCACCCCTCACTTTCATCCTCATGTTTCTGAAAAAAAAACACAAAAAAAAAACAGAAAATCACATGAAAAAAAATGCAGTGAAACATCACAAGAGTGCAGAATCTAGCTTTTGGCTCATTGCGTCCAATTTACTGAAAACTGTGAGCGGCTTCTACCCTCTGCGCACACCTAGGCAATATATGATTCCACCAAATCAGCTTATCTTCGGAAAATGGCACAGCTTTTTACTAAGATACATTCATATGTGATATGATCTGAACGCAAGAAAATTACACTTACAATTATCTTTTTTACATTAGAACTTTAGTAATTAGAACTAAAATGTGGTAACTATGTTTATGAACAAAAATGTACGACTGCAATTATGTTGTCTGCATTCACTCTAACTTATTTGCTGAAATCAAAGGGTAATAGGTGGGCGATAGCCAATGAGATTGCTGCTTGTGCATTAGCTCCACCCACTACCGAAGGAACTAGCAAAGAAACTAGGCTTCTGCTTGTTCTTAAAAGCTTAAAAGCTGATAATTCCAAACGAACTCATGTCATTTTGACAAGAATATATATATATATAGTAATATATATATATATAGTAATATAAATTAAAGCACTGTTCATGTGAATGCACGTCACTGGTTTTAAAAAAGGAAAATAATAAACCTATGCTGGGAAACGGTCGCTTCATTGTACCACACATTTCCACCTTCCTTGTGGAGTGTGAAATGCCCTTTATAGTGCACTTTACTTCTCAAATCCAGGCATACCTTGGTGCAGACACCCGTTGTGGCCACACAGAGGGTCAGGATGGAGATATTCTGGGCTCGGTTCAACCAGTTTACAGCCAGTTTCGTGCTTGTGGCCCACTTCACCATCGTCACATAGTACTCGCTGTAATACAGATAAGAAATTAGCAGAAATGTCTTCTGGCAGAATCACTATATCCAATCACTAGGTTTGAAATTAATCTTTAAAATGTCTTCGAAGACTTTAAATGCCCATCCGACAAATTAGGTATATATTTATACAATTTTCTGGCTCTTAAAAGGAGTGGGAGATGATTGGTGTATTGCACGTTATGCCCAAAACACACCCATTACTCATTAAGAGAATAAGGACAACCCTTTTAGACCATGTGCCGGGCGCGTCGACCGTTTTTCCCGTCATTAAACTAGCAAAAGTGGATTTGGACACGCCCTAAGTGCACCTGCACCGTGCGCTTTAGACCTTGCACTTAGATCATTAAAATAGGGCCCCATGAGCGCACAAATGGGCGCAAATGCATTTGCTGTTTAAACAACGTGGCGCAGGACGGCAATTTCTGGATGCCACCAAAGGCTGCGGAAATAGGGTCTGACCCCTCTTCCTGTGCTCAAATGGGCAGGAAGTCGCATGTTCAGCAGAGTTCTGCTCACTTCATCACAGAGAGAGTGAGTGAACGAATGTGCTCAAAGAGCTTATGTTGACATCTGAAGATTAATAAAAATCGCGGGGAAGCGTTGACAACAAGTTTATGTGTGTGTGCATCTCAATCTGCGATCTCACACACTCTCTCTCTCTCTCTCTCTCTCTCTGTGTCTGTGTGTGTGTGTGCGTGTGATGTGTGTGGGTTTGTGTGCATCAAATAAAACAGCGCATTAATATACAGTAGAACGGTGATTAAACTGACTTGGAACTACCTGTGCATAAAACGGTTTTACTGCATATCTGCCAGCCAATCAGAATCCAGTATTCAGACAGACCATGGAATAATGATATATAATGCAATAACACTCATTTCATCATGAATTTCACAAATTCAGATCATTTCAGATTTGTGGTTGTGAATCACACTGTTTTCTACATGTTTGCCAATTTGAATGAAAATGAAGAATGAAAAAGTTGACCTGAAATGAGTGTGTGTTTTGATATAAATATGATTTTGAATTTGAAGTAAATCTCATTTTCACAAATTCATGTACAATTACACCATGTACAAATTTAAAAGGCATTTTCTATTAGTGTTAACATGTGTCACTTTTTCTAACTGACATTAATTTATATAGACTATGTATTTAAGTTGTGTATTTTCAAATTACTTTTATTTGTAGCAGACATTTTGGGAAATATTACATTTGTTTTAATATTGCATACTGTAAATTCAAGCCACAAAACTATTCCTTGCTCAATTCATTCTAAAAAATGTTGACTTTTCAGATAACACTTTAACATAGGGACCAATTCTCACTATTAAGATGCTTATTAGCATGCCTATTATTAACATATCGGCGGTTTATTAATACTTTAGCACATATGACCATATGTGCATGACCATAATCTACATCCCTAATTCTTCCCAATTTCTAAACTTAACAACTACCTTACTAACTATTTATAAGCAGCAAATTAGGAGTTTGTTGAGACAAAAGTCATAGTCAATGGTTTGTTAATAGCAAGATTTGGACCTTAAAATAAAGTGTGACCACTTTTCAGTCAGTAAGAAGGCTTCTTAGAAGTAACAAGACATAACAACACATTCGGATCCTTGTTTGCTTAATATCTTGCCTAAAGAGATGCCTGCATTTGGTTAACATCTAGATGTATACTTCACTGCCAATGTTATCCCACAATCCTGTTATGGGTCCATATAGCTTTGAAAACATTTAGATTCACATGTTTGAGTGAGCTAGCCATTTAATGTCACTGAGGACAATAACTGCATCAGAATGCAGCACAGATGTATCCTTCACTGCCAATGATATCCCACAATCCTGTGCATTTCGAGTCACGGGTCCTTATGCAATAGCTTGGAAAACATTTTGATTCAATTTTCTTGGTTGAACTAGCTCCTTAATGCCATTGAGGACAATAACTGCATCAGCAGCTGAGAGTTTCAATAACGTATTTTAATGCCTAGAGAGCATGATGTGGATATTTTTGAGAAAATGCTTGTGACTATCATGGGAGCTTTTCAATGAATCTGATCATTACAGAGACGCTGACTCGTGGATGAACCAAACCAAGCCTGCCACAGGCATCTCTGTGGAAAACAGCAAAAATGGCTCTCATTAGGCATAAGATGTCAGAAACCCTGCAAACACGTCTCTCTCATTGCTGTTTTCTGTGTCTTTCTGTGTCCTTTCTTCTGCCAAACACACACTCACACTCTCAGTAGCGAGCCAGTAAGCTTGTTGGGCTGTTGATTGCTCACACAGGGAGGTTTAATGGCAGAGCTGAATGATGGATGAAACAGGAGTGTGTGTTTTGAGAGCTGGAGGACAGTAAAGCCGTGTCTAGCACACACACACACACACACAGTCCTCTCACACTTGTCCTTCTTTAATCAGAGAACACAGCTGTGGAATAGGGGGAAAATGAGCTGATAGTTTAGGCTATAAAACTTTACTGTTTAAACCCAGCATTTCCATTATCCATTTTTCCTCCCATTATCCAAAACAACAACAACAACATCTACTAAACCTGGTAAACGTTTTAGTATGGCAGTGAATGTGAATGCAATGACACATTTTGACTTTATTACTTGCAATTTTTTTCTCAGAATTGCAAGTTTATAACATAGAATGCGGTGACAGTTTATTTTAAGGTGCAATTCTTGCTATTAACAAACCATTAACTATGACTTTGCCTCAATAAACTCCTACAGTGATTTGCTGCTTATTAATAGTTAGTAAGGGCGTTGTTAAGTTTAGGTATTTTTTAGGATTAAGGATGTAGAATATGGTCATGCAGAATATGTGCTTTATAAGCACTAATAAACAGACAATATGTTAATAAGAGGCATGCTAATAAGCAACTAGTTAATAGTGAGAATTGGTCCCTATACTAAAGTGTTACCTAGAATTCTGATGGTATTTCTCACAATTACAAATATTGCAATTTTGAGTTAGCATCCTGCAATTCTGATAATTTTTCTCAAAATTGCAAATTTGCATCTCACAATTCATCTTTCTCAGAATTGTGTGCTTATAGCTAACTATTTTGAGTTAACGTCTCACAATTCTGATTATTTTTCTCAAAAATACAAGTTTACTCTCACAGTGTCTGGTTGTTGTGCCCTGGACTGGCCACTTGATGGCGCACTCCCCTTTCACTGTTACTTGTCATGAACTCCATTTCCCATAGTTCTTTGCCCGGTTCTTTTCGTTACTGATTATCATCCCCACTGAGAAGCGGAGGGCGAGAAAGGAGAGAGCGCCATCAAGTGGCCAGTCCAGGGCACAACAACCAGACACTGTGACATTTACATCTCGCAATTTGGACTTTCTCAGAATTGTGAGTTTATAATAGTTCGGACTTTATTAATCACAATTACGAGTTTGTATGCACTTCTGAGTTCTAAAGTCTTCTGTGTTCTTGCACTTCTGAGAACATCTCAAATTTCGGACAATTTTTTTAATTGTAAGTTTACGAACTTTCTTAGAACTGCGAGTTTATAAAACAGTTCTGATTTTTTTCCTGGTGTCATTTTGGAGAGTATCCGCTGAACGTAAACAATGTATGCTGTTCTGTGTCAGCAGCACCATGTACGTTGTTTACGTTCAGATCAAAGCACGTGCATACATTGTGATGCTCTCCAAAATGGTAAAAAAAAAAAAAAAAAGACGCGGAGGAGACGATTTGTTGAATAAAGTCGTTATTTTAGTTTTCTTTGCACACAAAAAGTATTCTCGTAGCTTCGTAAAATTACGGTTGAACCACTGATGTCACATGGATTATTTTAACGATGTCCTTACTACGTTTCTAGACCTTGAACGTGGTAAGCTCCTTGCTGTCTATGGGAGGGTCAGAAAGCTCTCAGATTTCATCAAAAAATCTTAATTTGTGTTCTGAAGATGAACGAAGGTCCTACAGGTTTGGAACAACATGAGGGTGAGTAATTAAAGGTGCAGTAGGAGATCTTGGAAAATGCTAACTTTAGCCTGATAGCACTGAAAGCGAACGTCCCACCCTCCCTGCAATCGCCGTCCAAAGCCACGCCCCCTGCACGCATTTACGCTCACAGGCCAGAGACAACATTACTACAATAGGCTACATCAGCGGTTCCCAATTCCAGCCCATGTTCCGAAAGTGAAGTAAATGTCAACGGATTTCCCCCGCTCAGGGAGTAGGGAGCAATGAACACTGTGTAGGGATCATATCGATCGGCACACAGTTCATGCACGTAGCTCACTTCTAACGAGCTGGCGCGAGGACTGGATTAACCGCTGGACTACATCATGTGTCATTCACCGGTGAGAAATCTTTAAATGTACTACAATACCAGGAAGGAACATCGGGTTGTTGATGTTTGTCTGCCATTCTCGCTCTGTCAGCACAGCGTGCATGAACGCGCTGATGACGTATCCTGTGTACATACGTTGACAGGCAGGTAGGAAAGCCAATTAAAACGCTTGGACCAAGCGTTTTGATTGGATGAACTTTTCTTGATCCTACGAATTCCCCAGAATATAGAAAATACAGACAAATACATTTAGACCACTTAACTTAATGATTGCTATGGGGATGTGAAGAGACTTTCAACCAGCATAACAAAAAATGTTTCTGAAGACAATCACCTATTGCACCTTTAATGACAGAATTTTCAATTTTGGGTGAACTATCCCTTTAAATATTCACTTATTCATAATACACCAATTCACTTTTCTTTCTTTTTTTCCTCTCTGGGTGTGAATATGTCTCTTAGATTGCAAAAGCTGTTGTCTTGCCCTTTTCCCCTGGACACCCAGTATATTAAATATACTCAGACAATCTACAAATAGAGTACATATGTCCTCTTTAGAGTTTGCTGATTTCTGCTTTACATTGATCATACTGCAGCAATGAGAGATCAATCAAACAGATCCATTGTTCACGTTCCACACGTCAGCACACGCCTTTCTATGTCTGTAAGCAGCACATTTCTAAGATTCTCATTTAAATTCAAAAGAGCCCTAACAAACATGACTTTAGCATTGTTCTTCACCTTCATTTGGATTCATCAGGGTAATAACAGGCTTCTAACAAACCATTAGCAACTTAATTAGCTGGAGTTCATTGAGAAGATAATTCAATGATGGTGAAGGCCTGTAGAGGTCTGATCAGCTCCGTTAGCGCATGCGAACACAATCACTCAACTAAAGCCATTCGTCATTTCAAACACTACTACATGTTAGTGCAGCATTTCTGGTTTGGCTTCTTTTAAAAAAGAAACATAGCGTTCTTTCATAAATAAATATTTAACAACTTGCATTCTGCAAAATCCAAACTTGTAGGCTGTTAAATAATTTAGCAATAATTAAAAAAAAGAAGCACTGCCAATTTAAATTAAGTTTGAGTAATTTTGTTATGTACTTTTATAGTTTTTATTAGTTTTTAATTATATTTAGCTTTGACTTATTTTTATATCAGTTTTAGTTATTTACTACCTTAACTTATTTTATTTCACTTAGCTGCCAAGCCAACATTTGTATTTACGTTTTTCTTTATTTCAGTTAACACACACACACAAAAATCATTGTTTTATTTTAATACCAAATTCTTAATATGCAATCATTTTAGTCTAATTACTCAGAAAATGTAGGCATTTGAAGATTAGCTTCTGTTCCTTATATTAATGAATTACCATTTCAGTGTAAATGTGGTGTTCCTCCTCATGAAGATTTCATGAAGCCCATTCTATAACGTATGGCCGTTATCAAAGGAAATAACCAATGTCGTTACTATTTTTTGTAGAGCTCCAGCTGTGTTACACTTCAGAAGCGCTGCCAGTGAGAAAACTCAAAGCGCTCCTGCTGCTGCAGTCACACAGGAGAAATTATACTGTGAACCAGACGACTAGTCGACCGTCCTGACCATCCCTATAGTGCCAAACTCATGAGAGCACACTGTTTAATTTGAGCTTGAGAACAGCATGAATTAACACTTCTTTTGGGAGGTGTGCAGAATATGAGTAGAGTATATCTCCCAGCAGCAAATTGGAGGGTGTTGAAAGAGGGCTAGTCATTTTTGTGGACTGCTAAAACTATGCGATTATTCTCTCCTGTGATACAGAGGTGTGTAAAACATATCGGCCTCATTAGCAGCTAATCTAAAGGACTGTTTTACACTCACAGTGACAGTGCGTTTCTCTAACAGGACTGTTTGCAGCAGTGAGAGGAGTGACTAAATAAAAGTTGCAGTGCTACTACCATTGCTACATTTTTTTTTTTTGGTACCATGACAGCAGAACTGTTTTCAAATGAGTGCACATTTTCCAGTAACAAGCCACTTTTTTAAGGATTAGTATAGCATGGCAAATCACAGATTTTAATACATTTTGCAACTAAATGTTTAGTTAAATGCTGCTGTTAATCATTAGGGTAAATTAAAGTGTTTTATAGTTTTATCAGTTGTAATATTTAGTATTACACTTACTGTTAATAAATAGTGATTCATGCTGTAATCCTGAGATCAGGATTCACAAGAAATAAATATAATCTGATATTTGTACTCTACAGCTGTAAAGTTTAGGGTTGATATATATATATATTTATTATTATTATTATTATTTTTTAAGAAGCCTATGTTCACCAAAGCTGCATTTAATTGATCAAAAATAATAATAATTTAATTAATATAATAAAAAACAGTTTGATTAATACAGTAAAACACTAATATTGTGAACTATTATTACAATTTAAAATAAATGTTTATTATTTGAATATATCTTTAAATGTGATGGCAAAGCTGAAATTTCAGCAGCTACTATTCCAGTTTTTAGCGTCACATGGCTCTTTCTGAAATCATTTTATATACTGATTTGCTGCTAAAGAAACTTTTTCATTATTAATGTTGAAAATTGCTGTGACGCTATATTTGTTTTCTTTTAAGATTCCTTGATGAACAGAAAGTACGTTTAAAACTTCTGCAACATTACAAATGTCTTTACTGTCACTTTTGATCAACTCAATGCATCCTTGCTGAATAAAACCACACATTTCTTTCAAACAAACCAACTAACAAACAGTGGTTCATATTTAAAAGGTAAAGCCCTTTTAATATGAGTTTTCTTATCTCTTTGTAACCAATGTAGGTCAGTTTAGTAGCTCACTTCAGCAGGGGGCAGTAGAAAGCCTCAGTAAGCGATTGCATTCTAAACTCTGTAATGACACCTCAAGATATGACTGCACACAAACCGAACACACGCTTTAATCAGATTAATGATATCCAGTTATCAGAAAAACAAGAAGCAGTCTGCATATGATAGTGTGTTCTCAAAACCAGCCTCTGTGATTACTGAATAATGGGATGCAAGTCAGATGACAAAAGAGAGATGATATTAAAGTAAATTAATCTTTAATAAAAATTGCTTGATGTCAGCTACAGACATTGCAGACTGTTCCAACCAAAACATAAGGCCATATGAGGACAGCCAACTGCAGCGAGTACTGAGATCGAAACCATTAATGTGGATGGTGAAGTTTGGCTTTCTTAACATACATGCCACAGAATAAGCAGCATTTTCAGTGAATTCTCTATGGGAGCTGAATGGCAGGCTTGTACGAGGGATTGTGGGATTGACAGTAGTGCAAAGCAAGTTGTGAGAGAGTCAAAAACATCGGAAACTGCTGAACTTAATGCAAATGAAAGGCGAGATATGCTGGGCAGCAGCATACTGCTGTGAGGTGTATAGGGAGGTCTGTCATAAACGTCTACAAATCTGTCTGGAGTGCTGGAGGTTCTGCCAGATTTAGTGCTTAAAGGAATGGTTCACCCAAAAATGAAAATTTGCTGAAAATGCCCTCAGGCTATGCAAGATGTAGATGGGTTTGTTTCTTTATCTGCACAGATTTGGAGAAACTTAGCATTACATCACTTGCTCACCATTGAATCCTTTGCAGTGAATGGGTGCCGTCAGAATGAGAGACCAAACAGCTGATAAAAAAACATTACAATAATCCACAAGTAACCCACACCACCCCAATCCGTCATTTAAGTGTAAAGTGAAAAGCTGCATGTTTGTATGAAACAAATACATTATTAAGTCATTTTTAACTTGAAACTGTTGTTTGTGGCAACAAGTTCTCTATCCATTATTTTCACTAGTTGTCTTATCTTAATCAGGAGAGAAATATGCACAGATCAAGGACTGTTTACAAGTCCTAAACAAATATGTCGGTGGATTTTAATGTGAGAGGGCATCAGGAAGCATTATTATGCACTATGGCCAGAAACAATGGTTTAAAAATAAAATGCCTTGATGGATGTTTCTTACAAAATGCACAGCTTTCACTTCACAAGACATTGATAGACTGGACTCATGTGCATGTGAATTACTTGTGGATTATTGTGATGTTTTTATCAGCTGTTGGACTCTCATTCTGACGGCACCCATTCACTGCAGATGATCCATTGCTGAGATACAAGTGAAAAGTACTAAATTTCTCCAAATCTGTTCCAATGAAAAAACAAACTCAGAAAAAAAACCTCAAATCTAAATTTTCAGCAAATTTTCTTTCTTTTTTTTTTTTTTTGGTGAATCGTTCCATTAAAATTACACCATTATGAAAAAGTAACCCTAAGCCCACCTATAAATTTGACATGTTTCTGATAGATATCTGAAAAGTTCTCCAATAAGATAAATATTAGCTATTAGGAGCTAAATCTTCTAAACACTCAAGTTCATAAACTGACAAAATTAGGAGGTTCACTGTATACTTAGTTTAGTGGGCATATTAGAGACTGCATTGTTCCTTAAAAATTCACTTGAGAAATACATTTTCTGGATTATAATTACAAACAGAAGATTAGCTAGTTTTGTCTTAATTGTTTTCATTTATTGTGGTTAGCCACCACAGTGTCATGCACCAGCTGCAAAAACGTACAATATCCATCCTTTCAAATACAGGACATTTAAAATAACAAGTCATATTAATGTTGCCTTTGATTGATTACTCTTTTAATTTTAAAAATTCTATTAAAAATAAAAACTCCACCAGCCTCATCACTGGATTCTTGAAAAAAATAGTTCTAGGGGAGTGTCTTGAACAGCCACATTTTTGATTGCAAATAACTTTAGAACTAAATATTTGAATAGGCTCCCAAACGTTTTTAGTATTTTTTTTTATATTTCAAAATAAAACAAAAATCAGGCTTCTTTACACTTTCAATGTTGCTATGAAGTCTGCACTGCTGAAGTGAATTGTCCAAAAAGGACAGTAGTAATTTGTGAGCAAATTTCTGAATCATGAAACGGCAAATGGGACATCCTACGATCTTGCAAACACGCAGAAGCGAATGCTGCAAGGATGCAAGAAGTGCGCCTTACTGCGAGCTTCTTGCAGGGTTCATTTCATGATCTTCATTAGAGCAGACGTGGTCTGCCACAGCAAGAACTACATGCGGTTCACTGATTATCCAGGCGTAATTAAAACTCAGCATTGATTATGCAGACTGATTGAGGTAATTAATATCCTCTCTGCAAAGTGATGAACTACTCTAAGAAAGCATACTCACAACAATGCAACAATCTACATTCTTGATCTCCAAAAAAAAAAACAGAAAGGGGAATGTGTAGGGGTGAAGTTGATTAGAACACTTTCCTCATAATAACTTTCAGCCACTTTCAAATCACATTAAGTAAATGAACACTGCGGATCGTTCGACTTTAATGCAACTCCATACAGCTGGAGGAATTAAACTGCTCTTGTAATGATGGATATTGGTTGTTTTAGGCCTTTTTTGGTTGGCATGGGTAATCTGAATTAACATACATTAACCTTTCCCAAAGCACATCAGGGAACTCCATATCCAGAAGGGTCCAGCAGGCATAAACTCCATCGTCAATGAATGCATGGCCACCTGTTCTCCTCCAAACACAGAACAGACTCTGGATTTGTATTCAACAGCCTCAGACTGCACAAAGCTTGACGATGCATTAATCATTCAGAGGATCTGCGGGTGAACTCGACGGCTGTGAGCCATTCACATGAACAATGACTGACCTTAAAACCCATGGACAGGAAGTCAAGGACAGTTCAGAGAGGCTCCATGAGGCACATGTAAACTTGAACCAACAGGTTGGATCACTATGTGGGCAGCACAGACTGGAAAAAGAGATCTGAGATTTGGAGTCCTGGGGCTGTATTACAGAAACTAACTCAGTATCCTATTCTATCTTTTTAATAACCATGGTAATTTCATTTATTCAAATCTAAGTCCAGAATCAAGATAGGAAGTTTCTGTATAACAGCCTCTAGAGTGTAGAGTGTGTTTCCCCCTACTCATTTGGCAGGACAGTAAGCTTGGCTCACTCAAAGCTTACTGTGAGACTGCTCTTTTACTAGACTACACATGTTCATGGCAAAAAGTGCAATAGCATGTCAGCAGGAACTCGCTATGCATTAAGAAGTGTTCATAGATTATTAGCAGCCACAATAAAGAAAGGTGGAATTGTGATTTTTTTTATCAGAAATAATGTATATACTGCTCATCCCCTTTGGATGATTTGTTAACTTCACTTGAAAAAAATGTCTTGCAAACTTATTGCCTCAGAAAAAATAAAATAAAATAAAAAACTAGTTAAGGCTACTTAGTATATTAAAGTTTTCATAAATTGGCTGAGTAAACCTGAATGCTTGAATATATTTTTTCTGAGGCATTACGTTTTTCAAAGTAACATTTTTGAAAAAAATTAAAATAATATATATATATATATATATATATATATAAATATACACAGTATATATGATTTGTTGAATAATCTACTATCTTCACGAATCCTGCCCGTGGTCTTCCGTCCGCTCGCCACCAGAAGTCACCTTCTGATTATATTGACTTTCACACTACACAGACTGTTACACGTCACCCTGGACTACATTTCCATTTCACTAATCACACTCTCACCTGTAGCCAATCACACACACTATAAATACGAGGTCCTAACCACCACTCAGCGCCGAGTATTGTAAGCACATATCGCTACCATAGCTGATAGCTACTTTACAGAGCCTGCTCTTAGTCTAATCTAGTCTTGCTTTTTGCCTGATTTTCCCGTGTTTATATCCTAGCCTGTGTATCTCGTTTCTGTGTGTTCTCTGCCTACCATGGATTTCGCTTGCTCTGGATTATTCCTGTCGTCGTGTCACGTTTGAATACTGTATGCTTCTCGCCTGGACTCTAGCCTGTTTTGGATTACCCCTTTGCTGTGCCCTTTGGATAACGTTCGCCAGTGTTATGACCCACGCCTGTGTTAAGAATACTCTTGTGTCTAGCCCTGTTCAACTTTGTTTGCCAGTGTCGATCTTTGCCTGTTATGACCATGTCTCTGTTTAAATAAAAGCTTGCATATGTATCCACACGCTTCCTCTGTTCTCTCCATAACACAGTCTGTTTAGGGTTACCAAGAAACTTGGTGCATTGATGTAGAATTCAAATGACATCACAGGTGTGTGATTAATAGCTGTTTTACAATGGCTTTGAATGTGGGTCATCCAATCAGAATCGCTGAGCCAAAACTACCCCAATCAATGTGTAACAAGCAAAAACAAAACAAAGAATGCAAATATGGTGGATGACTAATAGAAAGATAAATCATACATACTGAAAACCGAAGCAAAGTGACTAAGATAAGGAGCATCAGAAATAGGTCAGGATGAGTCTCTGCTCTCTTTAATACATTCATCCCCTTCAATAAATAATAAGTGTCAATTTCGAGACCTTCGGCGCCTCATAAACTCATGCCAAGGGTCAGTCTCCTCAATATGAGCCCAGATTAAAGTTTAAATGGGAGACTCACAGCACACTAAGCTAAAATCCACAACCGCTGAGTCTTGTCAGAGGCAGTGGTGCATTCTGGGAGATGCTGGGATATTGATTTTCCTTGCTTTGATTCTTTGATAATGCACAGAATCTATCACCATCATATCTGCCTCTTTAACAATATCTATCACCATCAAAATCTGCCTCTTCTACATCAGACACAACTTGTTTCATGTAGATTACAGTACACTGTACTCTTTAAAGATGCATACTTGCTTTTGATTTGTTGAATGTTCACCTTAGCTCTCAGGTCTCGAGAAAGACAACGATTTTTCTGGCCAATACTTGTCCTGACAAAACCTCATTTAACTTTGCAAGGCATTAAAACAAATGTCCATGTTTTTATACAAATCTTTCATACCTTCATAGAGCCAGTCGCTCAGACCGTTGAATATCACACCCTCCTTCCCAGTGGAAACAAGACGGATGGATCTGTTCTCCACAGTGGCCCGATAGTAGATGTTATTCTCAAATATAAAAATCTAGAGAAATGGATAGAAACACAAACACGCTGCAATCAAAATGTGATGGATAGGCCAGGAGGGGTTTACTGGGGCTGACATTTACAGTGTGCATGGAGAACTTTAAAGGAGTCATATCATACAGTTTTTATTTATTATTTTCACCCTGTGGTCCATTTATAATATTAGTAAGTTGTTTTTGTTTTCACCCTCTCTCCGACCCTTAGAAACATTCAGGGTTTTTGCTGCTGTGGCTTTAAGAAATGCCCCTTTGCAGGTGTAACAGTTCTTTGGTCCATGGTTTCTGTCAAATATAGTTATTAAAGCAATAGTTCACCCAAAAATGAAAAAATTGTTTAAAAACTTACTCTCAGGCCATCAGAGATATAGATGAGTTTTTTTCTTCATCTGAACAGATTTGGAGAAATTTAGCATCACATCATTTGCTCGCCAATGGATTCTGTGCAGTGAATGGGTGCCGTCAGAATGAGAGTCCAAACAGCTGATCACAAAACATCACAACAACCAATCCAAACAACACCAGTGTCTTGTGAAGCGAAAAGCTGCATGTTTGTAAGAAACAAGTCCATCATTAACTTTAAACTGATACTTCTGGCCAAAATATGAGTCCATAATCTATAATAATGCTTATAGTGAAACGGTCAACCCCGCGGTTGTCCTCTCACATCAAAATCCACTGATATATTGGTTTAGAAATTATTTCGCTTAAAAACAGTATTTGATCTGTGCATATTTATCTCCTGATTCAGACGAGACAACTTTTTCACCTGAGAAAGCTATATTTTGGATATAGGGTTTGTCTGAAGTTTAAAAACACCTTTATAATGAGTTTGTTTATTACGAACATGTCGTTTTTGCATAGAAGACATTCATTGATGAACTGGAGTCATGTGGATTACTTGTGAATTATTGTGATGTTTTTGTCAGCTGTTTGGACTCTCATTCTGACGGCACCCATTCACTGCAGAGGATCCATTGGTAAGCAAGTGATGTAGTGCTACATTTCTCCAAATCTGTTCGGATAAAGAAACAAGCTCTACATATTGGATAGCCTGAACATTTTCAGCAAATTTTTAATTTTGGGTGATTCAGTTGAGGTCAGATGGAAATAATCAGGCATCTTGTTTAAAATGAACTTCACCCTTTGGTTTATAACATCAAGATTCTTCACAAGGATCTAAAGGCAGCAGTTGATACACAAAAACAGTACAACGTTTGGTTACCCTTTACATATTTAAACGTGAGTTCTTTTGCTTTTTAGGATGAATCATATTTATCTTGCTTTCACCTTGACTTGGCAAGTCAAGTTTCTGATTTATGTCTGTCAGAAAGTTTTTTTGAGTCATTTTTGCATTTTAGTTTTAATAAATGGTATTGTTTAGGACTGGGTAGGTTGTCAGTTCTGAAAGTTTATTAGTACGTCAAGGACAGTTTGGCTGAGAGAGCTCATACAGATTCAAAGATGTATTTTCATTTAACTCAGGCCTTTACACAAACGGTCCTTTTATTTATATTTATTTTAGATCACCTGGTGGCTTCATTTATAAAACGACTTCCGTAGCACCATATTTAAAATAACCTCTGCACTCAGAAATGAAAAGGAACACTCTCTATGCTTAAGATCACAGGGGGAAGATGACAGGACATTTTGACTTTTAAAAGGAAAACCTTCTAAAAGAGAACTTGATCAGACCAAAACCAAGCCTTAAAACAAGTTTAAAAATGTGCGCCAACAGCTAAAATGATTACAATTATTTATTCAGTTTAAAGTTTCAAATATTTACAACATTTGGACATAATTCAACATTTTTTAACCAAATTAAAATTGCTGAAAAATCTGAATAAATGAATAATGATCTGGACGAATCTGGATGATTCCATGATCTGGATGATTTTCCCAGATAGGAATGTCTGTGATTGCAGTATTGTATCTCATTGCTTGTATCTCATCACCCCATTGCTTCTCATTTACTTTGACCTTCGTTAAATACTGTAATTAAAGCTAATTTTTTGTTTCCTGGTGCAACTTCCTTACATATTTAGAGCTATTTGCCAACATAGCAGGTAAAATAACAGTTGGTGGTTCCAGTACGGCTGTCAATTAATTAATGTATTCCCTTAATGATATAACTATACACTATTGGTCAAAAGTTTGGAAAAATTCATATCTAATGTTTCTGAAAGAAGTCTCTTATTTATTTGACTAAAAACACTCAAAACAGTAATATTGTGAAACATTACTACAATTTAAAATAACTGTTTTTTAATATATTCAAATGTAATTTAGGAAACACTTTAAGGATCAATTCTTACTATTAGCTAGTTGCTTATTATTAACATGCATGTTACTAGTATATTGGCTAGTAATAACTCTGCAATTATTCATATATTATTGTGCACGACCATATTTTAGATCCATTAATCCTACCCCATACCTAAACTTAACAACTACCTTATTAACTATTAATAAGCAGCAAATTATGAGTTAATTAATAGTGAGAATTGGTTCCCAAACTAAAGTGTGACCATAATTTATTCCTGTAATAGCAAAGGTGAATTTTTAGCAGCAATTATTCCAGTCTTCATGGTCACATGATCCTTCAGAAATCATGTTTCAACATAAACCGATCAAAAGTGACCATAAAGACATTTCTAATGTTAGAAACAATTTCCATTTCTGGTGCTCTTTTGAACTTTCTATTTATCAAATAATTCTGAAAATATTAAGAAACCAAAAATGTTTTCAACATTGATAATAATAATAACAATTATTAATAATTGAGCATCAATCTGCATATTAGAATGATTTCTGAAGGATTGTGTGCCACTAAATTTAGCTATGCCATCACTTGAATAAATTACATTTTAAAATATTAAAGTTATTTTAAATTGTTAATATATATGTACAATATTATTGGCAAGCATGTGTTCTTTCAAAAAACTTTAAAAATCTTGATTATTCCAAACTTTTGACCAGTAGCATATTATATACCAGCAAGTATTTTACCAGTATTTATTTTTTATTTTTTAGTGTACAAAACAGAAGAAAGAAATACATGTAATTAGGGTTGGGAACCGATAACCGGTTCCGTGAGCAATTTCTACGTTTCGGTTCCGAAAATGGTTCTGGTGCGACACGTGACCAAGTGCTGTGAGCAGCCTTGCACCGGCGTTTCCCGTAAAGGATGTCACAAACCAAATAACAGAAACACCACCCTGCCTCTTTAATTACTGAGCACATTGTTTCCCATGACGCACACTCCACAGACGTGCCGCGTCTTTAACTGCCGAACACATCGTTTTCCACGACTGTACTTTGATAAATGTGCACATTGTTTTGTCTGACTGTACATGTACCGGCAGCACGCAGCTCCTGCTGCCACTAAATTACATTATATTTGTCCCATATTGTCATTAATATACATACTGACTTCAACTTGTTCCACTAAATAAATAGACTGCTATTGTTATGTAATAATGTGGGTTAGATTATTTAGTGTACAGGTCATTTCAAGAGTGATAAACAAAAAAGTGATAGAAAATATTTTCATGCATTTTAAATGTTTAAAAATGTGGAAAACACTCATTGCATCACACCATCTCTGCATTATTATTTGTAAAATAGGAGCTTTATGCAGTGTGTGTATACATGGTTATAAGTATAATATTTCATTAATTTAGGGAAATGAACAAGTGTCTTAGCCCTCAAGGGACTATTTGACCAACCAGCTTATTCCTGCTTGAAAAGTAAAATGTTATTGATAGTGTAAAAAACATCAACTTTGAAGCACATGCATTACTCAACATTACTTACTACTTTCCAGCAACACTACATTCAATTAAGGTAAAATAGCAAAAAAAAGTTAATTTAAATGGAACCGGAATCGGAACCGGAATCGTTAGGCAAAACTGGAACCGGAATCGGAACCAGAACCAGAAAATTTCTAACGATACCCAACCCTACATGTAATACAGGCTTGGAAGAACATGAGGGTGAGTAAATGAAGACAGAACTTTCATTTTATGGTAAACTATGCTTTTAATGTTTGCTTTATTTCAATGTGTTTAATTATGAATCACTCACACAAAAGCATTAGGTATTTTGGGCTTCCAACTGCTAATAGACTACAAAGAAAGTGTTTTGAGATTTGAGAGGCAGTTCCACTATTATTATAAACCTAATAAGTTTTTATTTAGGGTTCATGAAGTAATCTGAAAAGAGAAGATGGCTGGAGTGGCCAGAAAATCTGGCCCCTGGACCAGCTAGTCAATACTTCTGAATATATTCCACTGCCATTGGTATGTGTGGTTATGCTTGTAAACCCACCGTTGACTGTAGAAAGGGGTCTATACAATTTTTAAATCTTTTTTTACACCCCCGTTTGTGAAAATATATACTGTTGCAAGCTGACCCCTTTCAAATCAAGGGAAACACACAGTCCTTATGGTCCAATTTCCTCATGAACATCTTGATGCTGTTGTTATAAGATGTTTTTCTTGCTCTGCACTGAAAGTGAGGTGTGCCGATAACATATCAGAAAGACTATTGACAGTGGACTGGCTCAGGAGAAGCATTGATTTGTAATCTCTCTTAAACACACCACAGCCACTTCACAGCGCACTGGATGACACACTGATTTATTCTGCCATGGCTGAGGAACAGTAAATAAAGCAAATTTAGAGTATATGCAGAAGGGAATAAAAATTAAGGCATTTAAAGATTTTTTTAAACATACTTTAAAACTGTAGGGTATTATTAAATATTACTTTTAAAGTTAAAATATTTTTATATGTACTAAATTGCAACTTCATCATTACAAATGTGTAATTACTAATATATTTAAATACATTACTTTTTATGAATAGAAATGACATTGAAGTACATTTTAGTTTACCATAAAGTGTTGTCAGCACATTCTGCAGTGCACTTTATCCATATTTCAAATACAACGGAAATAATAATGAAATTAAATGTAAAGATTTGTTTAAGTCCCATTCAT